CCCAGAGACATGTTGGCAACAGCACCGTTGGGGCAGCTGCGGGTTTTGGCGTCGTTGGCGACGAAGTTGATACCGGCAATGACACCAGAGTTGGAGCCCGAACCACTGGCATCGAGGACCTTGACAGCGTAAAGCTTGGTCTTCTTGGCTACACCGTAGGTCTTGGATCCGATCGTACCAGCGCAGTGGGTACCGTGACCGTTTCCGTCCGAGTTCTGACCATCACCAGCATAGTTGGCGAGGAAGGTAGCACGGCCCTCAAACTCGGGGTGGGCAGTGTAGATGCCAGTGTCAATGACATAGGCGCAAGTACCAGCACCAGCAGTGGTGTCGTAGATGTAAGAGCTGGTACCAGGCTGCTGGTGGGAGATACGAGCAAGGCCCCATGTGGAAGAAGACTGAGTTGTGTACGCCTTCTTCTCGAGGTGCGACTCGCCAAGGTTAGCCTTGACAATAGCATCTTGCTCAATGTAGTCGACCTATGCTATGTTAGTACTGAAGATGATGCTCTTGGGGCTTTATAGCTTACACCTGGGAGGTTGCGGAGCAGCTCGACAATGTCGTCGGCCATATCAGCAGAGAAACCGCCAAATCCAGCGAACTTGTAGACGTGGGCAGGGTCCTTCTTGAGAACCTTCAAGGCGACGTCAATGAGGTTCTGAAGGTTCTCGTTCTTCATCTTGACGATCCATCTTCCGGGAATGGGAGCGCCAGCACGGGGAACAATGACCGGGGCGGGAAGGGCAAGAGCCACAGGCAAAAGTGCGAGAAGAAGTGAGAGCTTCATGTTGGCAGATTGATCGAAGATGGAAGTCTTTGGAGCGAGAGACGATGAAGACTGCTGATGAGGGCTGAGTGTTGCTGTGCTCGTGGCCTGATGCCTTGAGAGGGCGTCCGGTACCTCTTATATAGAGGTGCTTGATAATCTGGTGTTGAGACGAGATGGCAGGAGGCAAATGCACCTTCCAATAAGGACTAGCAGCCACCGACAAGGCGGTCTCGTGGCATGCCGACGTACCTGAACCACAGCACAAGGTGTGTTAGTCGCTAGAACGGCTTAAGATGGCGTTTGAACCACTCCGATACCTAGTTGGGTAGGTGCTACAGTGTGTTCGGGCACTACTTGCTCTCAGCCCACCTTAGTAGCGGTAATAGAACGGGCGGAAAGTCTTAGAGAAGGAGGAGGATGTTGCGCGTAGCAGGTCAGACGCGCAGGTCTTGGCAGAATGCACTATAGATTGGCATGCTTACTAGTTTAGGGATGTGAATAACGTCGCGTAGAGATTCAGCGTAGAAACCGGTGCGTGGACGCGATTGGATGGGACGGATCGATCTGCAGCCATCCTGATAACGGCGTAGAGGTGATGAGTGGATCATTACTAGGTCGGCTGTCAAATGAAGCTGTTTCATGCAGGATTATCGCCTGGGGTCCATGGAGAGTGTCCCGCCGCCTTTGTCTGTTGGTTATGGTTGCACGAGGCAAATTCAACTCGGGCATGGCACGCTTGCCAACCCGGATCAAGTGAACCAACATGATGTGTTCCTTTTGCATCCCTGACGGTAACTCCCAAGGGCACGGCACGAGCCGCTACTGGCTGAAGGGTAGTTCGTATGTCAAAGTACCGAGGCAATCGTCGGAGATACTGCGCGAGACTGATGTGCAGATGATTTCGAACCAAGAACAAGGTTTGCATACACCGTCACTGTGTAATGAATGACGTGACAAGAGAACCTGGCTCTAGTAATTGTTAGATGGCAATTGTATACACGTTACCTTGAGTCTTACATCCCTTACATATCTGCATGGATGTCCAATCTCGCTAGATGAGATGACCAACGCGATTTGCTCCAATCACAACAGGGTCGCTTTCTCAACTGGTCGCTGCACCGATCCCGTTTCAGGCGGCTTGGAGACATGATTTGGTGAGGAACCAATCAGATATTGCAGTCCGACTTTATCTGGCGGGCTTGGCGAGACCGGCTATGCTGTCGTAGCGCTGTTCGGCAGCGCCGCAACGTGCCATCATCATGCTTTTTTGTAACCCTCGAATGGCCGGCTGTATTGAACATGCAATATTCGAGTGTTGTCATCCGACGCAGTTGCAGCGCCATCCGCTGACACCCCAAGACCCGCTAGCATTAAGCTTAAAAGCACGTAGGCGTTGAAACCACCTCCTTCTTTGGGATTTAGCATGATGCAGATCAATATAGTTAACCTGGCCATTAGCCACACCTCAGATAAGGCAGCAGCAGAAGATGGAGACGGGCGAATCGCGACCGCGATCTTTTGGGTAGCGCTCTTGCCAGCGCGGAATGACATGATCGCCTTGGAAGGTTCTCGTCCGGTCACGTACAGCCCTTGTTCCCGTAGCCCAGGCACACGACTGGCGGCGACAGGAGATCTAGAAGTGCAGTAAGCCCGCGGACTGGAGGAAAGTGCAGCGGAAAGGCGCACTTCTTACTTCCAAGCCTTTCGAGGCGACTGCGGGCGCTGTTGGAATGGCGTCTTGCCGCTGGGTCGATCATGACCCCCGCCGGCAGATGTGAGCATGGCAGAATGTCTCCTGCCTGTTGCGTGAGGTACTCCGCCCACTAAGGTGACCTACGACCCGTCTTCAAGTGTAGTTGGCGAAGCTGTGAAGGCGAAAGGGTGTGGCGTGGTGTTTTGGCGTGGTTCTTCAGGACCCGCTCCCATCTCAGGTCCGGGTGTTGGCCGGTGCCGAGATCCCGCCGCGGGCACGTGCGCAGCGCACGAACCAAGCCGGCATCGCTCACGATGTCTCGGTATCCTCCTGTCACGACATCACCAGCCGGTGTCAACAAGTCCCTAGGCAAAACCTTCTTACGTTTTGCATCTCCACTTGGATACTCGCATAGATCGTCGTTCAATATCCCGCTATATTCCCGTCGCAACGAGTGACAGCTGTCTGTCCCAACGTCTAGGTCAAAAGATCGACCCTCGTGGCATGTCACTACGGACAAGAACGGGTCATCACATGACTGTTGTGGCAGCAGGCGCGCGTGATCTATTGAGAGCTTGATGCACTTGTAGACAACAGCTCGCCGACATGGCCGGCAGGTGGAAGCGGATGATACCTCATGTCAAGCGTGTATTAGGCGTTTGCTAACCCAAAAGAATCGTTTGAGTCGATAGCTCGCAAGAACCGGAAGAGGTGAATTCCTACGACACACCTAGAATTCATCGTCTCAAACACAAGCATTCCACACGCACTGATATCCCAAGATAGTCAACTTGTCATCCCTTCCATACCACGCTAGACACTTCCGTACCTAGCGCCAGCAGCATGATCTCCCATGATCTCCTCGTATCTCAGACCCTGCGACGATCTTCACGCGACGGTTAAGGACCTTCCCTGAGCGTCAATCTTCCGCCCGTGCCAAGAAAACGCAATCGCAACCAGCGCTTACGTCGGGCCATGACCCCACACACCTCCGCCATGGGCTGGCTACATGGTAGAGCTAGCTGCATGTACATATGAGGGATGATGGCTTGCATTAGCTTACATGTTCTACATACAGGCTACTCTTTGGCCGTACTATCTGCCCAGGTGTCTTTGCCCAACCATCATGCAGGTACACTTACTGGTATCGGGGACTTCGGTGTTGATCGATCATGCAGTCGGATGCAGTACCCATGGCGCGAGTTCTATGGCTTACGGGACGAAGTGACCTTCCTCTTCGGTCTCTACACGAACGTTCACTGTCACAGCAACTTGATGCGACCGGTGTTCGAGTGGCGCTATCATGGTTGACGAGTAGGCGTTCACATGGACAGTTCGAGTTTTCGCAAGTAGACCCCCAAAGAGAAGGTCAATCGAGCTATGCAAGACGCACAGCCCGACAGTAACGTACACATCCACAGTACGAATTGGTATGTATTGGTATCGCTGAGCCCTGCCGCAGTATACTGTATTTAGCAACGGCCCGTCCCCTGTCCTCCAAAGCGCAGCCGAAGGATTCATCTTGCACGGGTAACCTGTAGTAGCTATCTTGCAGGATCTATGCACCGCCCCAAGTAGTCCTCTAACGCTGCAGTATCCTGCGAAACGATATTCCTGATGATGGAGCCGCCAGCCACCGCGTTCCCTCCCGTCAGGAACCGGAGTCAACGTTCCGCTTTGTCCTCAGTGGATCCAATACATGTACCAAGCGGACATGTACGGACGTTGAAACCTAGAATGAACGGTGCTAATCCGAAAGACGATGTATGATCGATCATGTCCTCCTGCTGTTGCTCACTCATCAGAATTGGACCGAGATAGAGAATGTCATGCGCACTCCAGCTGCGCTCCAAGGCTACTTGGGCATAGAGCATTTCGACATCATCGCGAGCTCCCTTGTCAGCACGCATCTAGAAACCGTACAGCATCAGCACCGCCGCGCAGATCAAAGACCATCACTTTCCTGTTCCTCATCGCCGATCCCTCTCCGTCCTCCTACCCATCTTCCTACCCCTTCGACTCCCCCAATACTAACCATCCTGCCCGCCCCGGAAAGCACCTCCGTACCGCATCCTGCACCATGCACGCACGGGTGTGAGCAGATACAACGCCACCAACACAGGCACATCTCCGCAATCCTACCAACGGCTCGGCCCTTTTCTGGAATGGCGCACAGAAGGACCAGATCCACATACCCTGTGGATATTTGCGATAAGGCATCATGCGGAATAAGCCTTGGTAAATGTAGGACAAGCCTCATTAAGAAGGCGGGTGGGTGTCTTGGCGGGGGTTGGCGACCTTCCGCTCTGGGAATGTAGGGCCGGTTGGAGGGGTGGGGTGGTAGGTGCGTGTCTGGAGGGGATGGTCATGGGATGCATAGAATGCTCGAGTAGGTCGTTGAGGTCGTGAACGGTTGTGAGATGTTTATGGTAGGCGATGTATGTCTGCGATGCCACGTATGTACATTACCCGCTTGGTAATGGTTACAATCATATTGACAAGTGACCGAGGCGTTGGCGACGCTGACGCCTGGGGTTATTATATCAGCTCGATCGTAGTTTCTTGTGCAATATTGTATCCATCAAGTACGCTTTGCACTATCCGTTTTTCCTCCTCAAGCGGCTCGACATATGAGAAAAATTCGAAGTAGCCTAGTCGTTCATAGCTGCCAGTCTTGACTCGACTTGGCAGAACTAATATGCCTTGTAGACTGCCTTCTTTCCCGTATGCGAAGTGACGAAGAACCACTAGACTGATCTCGTTGCCCAGGTCCTTTGCGTTCGTGATGGTACAGTCATCGAGAGTCACGGTAACTTTGTATGGCGTCCATGCCCAGATACCCGAATCCGGTGGAGATGTCGGAATCAGGCGACATGTCAATGTTAAGGAGGCGTTGACAAGTTGCCCAGAAGGCTTCTGATCCACGGTGAGGTCTTCTATTGCCGCCATCTCATGGATAAAATCCAACCAAGAGTCATACTCCCACCACATTGTACGGCCTCCAATTACGCGATTGATGCTTGCCCAACTCCATGTAGGTGCGCGCCATTTAGAAGGCTTTGGAGGTTCATCAATCGAATGCACCCTTTCATTGGTATGCCGTTTCCAGCATAGCTCTTCGATCAGCCGGCCTCGCCATAAACCAGCAACTAGGGTGTCGTTTGTGACTTCAGCAACGGCCTTCGCAATGCCATTCAGAGCAACGAGTATATCTTCTTCCTTTGTCAAGCTGAGGCCGGAATATGAGGTCCTGAAGCGGCACCAGTCTTTGTGGATGCTTGACAAGACTTTGAGCTTGTCGACACTGGTCGGACTCCCGGACATGATGGCCAGTCGACTCTTGTAGTACCACATGTTCGATTTTAAGGTATGTACTGCGGTGTTTCCATACCACATTGTCGCTTCTTGGATACGGCTACCGTCAGGGTCTTGTTCACTCGTAACAGATTCGCGACACTCCCAGAAAATTAGGTTTTGTGTGAAATGAACGGTTCCAGTACTCAAGTAGCGTTCTTGAGCAACCCAGGCTCTTTGGTTCAAAGGTGCGTTATCGATAGCGATGGTAGCAGTAACTATTTCGGTGTGTATGGTATAGCGTACCAAAGGCTCGTCGGTTTTCTGCCCATGAATCCGAGCTCTACTAGTACTAATCCCTATTGGCAACAGATCCTGCGGATCCCGATAGAAGAAGAGACCGACATTACTATCTTTGGCAGCGGTGGCTGCGATGCAGCAAATAGCTCGACTGTAGACATTCCACATGAGAGCGGCCTCTCTATGCCAATCTTTGGGGTCATCTTGGGTAATACACCTATAGCGCGTCAGATGAGATCCAGAGCAGACTTGGTCAGGTACAACGTACAGTGAATCAATCCAAAGATATCGAATCTGCATGTTCCGAGTCACAAGAATGGCATCCTGAAACGTCTTGGGCAGATCTTTCAACAGAACGCCTGCTTTAAGACGCGCTGCAGTACTTCGTGTCAGCTGAAAAGGCCGAGACTTACCCCAGCAATGCGACAGCGCAATGTAGGGTGGTTGTCCAGCACACTCGTTAGCCTCCACAAGACAAATCGTTGGATCCCCAATGTGACCAACATCGATCATTCTTGTGGGCAAAAACCCATGCGTTTCTTGTCTGCTTTGCTGCATCATCTGACACTCAGTGTGCGTATCTCGGCATCGTTCCAACTGGGACATTATGAAATCGATGCAGTCAGCGCTGCCTGTATGATTGGCAGCAAGGCTTCTATCCGCCACTGCAACACCAGAGAGAGCCAGAAGGGAGTTACGAGGTTGTTCGCTTGTTGCCTTGGGCGTCAACGTGATCTGGATTGTAGTATCAGAGCACGTGAAGCAAGTGTCCAGTCCTTCTTCTACGGTATCGTCCTGTGCGTGTGATGGGATTACGCGGTACACGGTCGGTGCTACTTCGAAAGCGTTCTCTGATTCGTGGCCTGTATCGGGTTAGTCACTTACACACATCGAATAATATCCATGGATGGGGTCGGCAATACGCATTTCGCGAATGAATTCTCTTCGAAGGCGTCTACATATACTACAAGGCAATGCGAGAGCTTGCTGAAACGATTCGGCCGTTGCGTGATGGATGAAGGTTAGCCATCCGTCTTCCTGACCCAACAAAGGGCTCTCTCCGCTGAGAAATCTTTGGCATGGGCCACAAAGTAGCTCGTCTGACATCGTGGCCGATTTATTGGTTTCGAAAAGGTTATGAGCTGCTCATGAATGGTTACATGATAAATGTGATGAGAAGACACCAGGCTGAGGTTAGTGCAGGTGCGCAGCAAGTCAGCCTGACAAGTTGAGGTGCGGGGTCGGCTGCTGCTGCCTTGAGAGTGATGCTACCATTGTACTGGCCAGCATGCGAGAATAGCGCTCCCATGTTTGGCCCGGAGGAGAGTATGGCAAGTAGCTGAAATACCATGAGCGATGTCGATGGTGTTGAGGCAGCGCGTCCCCAGAGATTAACGGGCCCACTTCCCCTAGCCTAAGCCAGGGTCCAGCGTCGCCCGGCCTTCGTACCTGCCTGTGCTCAACTTTTACCAATTGCACACCCTCAGCATGCTGACGCTCCCTTCTCTCTCCGCAATGAAGCGGACACGATGAACTCGTCACGCGCATTCACTCGGACGACCCAGAACACCTTCCGCAAGCCCCTCGACTTCCTCAGCAACCTGTCGCGGGGTCCTGTGCAACTGCCAAAGGACAGAAAGAGAAAGGACAGCAACGTACACCGGCGGAACAACAGCGCGAGCTCAATCGACGATACCGATCACTCCGACGTCGAGTTCTACGCGCAAATGGAGACGTCACGGCGGAGTCATTCGACGCAGAACTCGCTGTCGGAGCTGCAGCCTGCGGTGCCATTGATCGATATTGGCAGTCGCAGCACCAGCCCCTACCCGCGCAATCGAAGCGCCGCGCAGAGCGAAGACGAAGATGACGAATACGAACCGGCGAGCAGTATACGGCCGTTGGTCAGCCATGACGTAGGGCGAGGAAGCCATGCCTTTCGCAGCTTCTGGCAGCAAGGCGGGCCTGGGGCTTTCTTTTTCGGCACATGGAGGGGCTGGCAGGCTTGGGTGGGATTGCTCGTCTTTTGGGTTGGCGGGTGCAGCTTTGGGCTACTGCTGATGAATCGCTTCATCATGCTGACGGGTGTCTACAAGTGAGGACACGTCAAATGCGTATTGGGTGTATACTAACAACACCAGATTCCCGTTTCCCCTCACTCAATCCTACGCGCAGCTCATCATCACGCATATCCTCCTCATACTCGTATCGAGCCTCCTACGCTTCTCCAGCAATCCGTTACATTTCATAGGCTTCGGTGCCGCTGTGCCGCCCTCGCAGCCCGCTGCGCCTCAGGGAGGAGCCTTTAGAGGCAACAAGAAGCCTGGCATATACGCATTTGCGCGATGGTTATCGAATGGATCTGGTGGTATTGCTGGCGGAGGCCTGTTTGAGTTCGACTTCCAAATCGCGAAACAGGTACTCCCACTTGCGGTAGTCTTCATCGTGAAGGTGCTGCTTAGTAACTTCTCGTTCGCGTAGGACGCCCATCACATCCCGATCTTCTCCAATGCTAACACAGAATAGCTACGCACCGCTTCCCGTCTATCAACTCGCCCGCATCGGCATAACCCCGCTTGCCATCATCTTCGCCTGCGTCCTGCAGAAAGAGAACGTCAACGGCAGCACCCTCTCCTCCGCTCTCGTCGCGACCCTCAACCTCTTCTTCGCCTCGTACCGCTCCAACGTCCGCGTTACCTGGGAGTCTGTCGTCGCCGGCGTCTTCTCCTCCATCTTCGTCGCGCTATACCCGATCCTCCTGCTCCGCACATACCGCAAGATCGTCGCTGGCCTCGTCCCAGCTGGCGATGTGCTCACCGGGTACCCTAGCGGCTCAGAAGAACCCGGCAACAGAGAGGAGACACGTGCCTTCTATCGCACACTACACTACACGTCCCTTGTGTCACTCATGCTCCTCACACCGATCGTGGTCCTCTCCGGAGAGGTTCCGCATATATACCACAATATACCGTTCCTCGATGTGCCCTTCTTCTGGGCCATGATGCTGTTCGGTGGTATGGGCTCGTGGGCTGTCTTTTCAGGCACTCTGCTGCTTGTCAAGGCGACGTCTCCTTTGACGGCGACCTTTGTCGCAGTCCCACGAAGCGCCTTTCAGCTGGTTGCCATCACTCTGTTCAAGGGTCCGGCGCAGACTTGGATTGGTGTGATACTTTGCTGGATCAGCAGTCTGTGGTTCCTGGTTGCGAGACGCGACGAAGGGAGGAGTAGGGATCGGTTGAGATTGGAGGGCAGGTAGCAGGCGTGGTGTTGTTCTGGCACATTGACTTCGCCATCTCGTCATATGATTTTTGTCTTCATTCGAAGTTTGTTGATTCAACTTACCTTGCATAGCGTAGCATCTGATACCAATACTTATCACAATTCTGACAAGGATTTCTTTGCCTTATGAACGACCAAGGGCTGACATTACCGGCTTGGTCAATGTGGAAATCCGTGCTCTCAAAAGCGTTGCCATGTGTTGGTACAGTAACGACATCGCGCAGCCGTTCGAAAGGATACCCGACTTCGCCATGGGATGAACTCTCTTGCTTTTGGTTTGGCTCGCATTGGCACCACGTGATTTCCACTGAAAGCACCATATAAAGCTTCTCGTACTGTCCTTACTCTTTCCTTCTCATCATAAACTCTCCTCTTCTGTTTTCCAAAAAGCGTTCAAAGAACAGCTCATGGCATCGAAACCCTTTCTGAATGAATACATGTCTTCTTCCGCTTTCTTCCTTCTAAAACAAACACTCCAAAAGTCTGCCTCAATGCCTCATGGGAGCCAAACGCCCAGCATTTGACTATAAAAGCACCATCACCTTTACCATGCCTCCATTCCTCCACGACAAACTCGAAATCTGCGACTCCAAAAGATGTCAACGAGTGCATCATGGCACCAAATTGCTTATCAACCACTCGCATGATATGGGCCGCGAATGTCTCTCCTCTTCTTCTGCATTGTCCTCGGCTGGAATATCAAAAAAACACAACCTTGACTGCATGTTCTGGCGGTCTGCTTCGAGTTCAAAATTACCAAAGGACGGTTCCATGTGTTCCGCTCCTCCTTCCTTTCTTCAACCAACCGGTCACTCCCGAAAGGCAGTTGGCTGAGCAAAATGGAAAATTAAACATACAAATGATCGACCCAAATAATACCGATAACCTATCCATGAGATTTGCGCCGCCCTCTGCCAGTGGAGATTTCCAAAAACGCTGCAATAGCGGATCATGTTTGGTGAGGGGTCCAAAGATAAAAGAGAGAGAGACCATGTCTTCGTCGGCCCCTTTCTTTGGACGTATTTATGGCAGCTGCATCATTTCCAAAACATGGTCGACTGGTTCCATGTGCGACTGTGTTGTCGGCGCGCGTATATAAACCTTCATTCTCCACGTTGCTCAGCTTTCCTTAGACCACGCTCCCGATTTCGATTGTCTAAAAACGATGTTACTAGCCTTCATGGAGACCAGAAAGGGAACAGGAAAATTCGGATGTCTTTCTGTGTGCACCGCTGCCCGCATACCTTAAAGGCAAGATACAGCCCTCCACCAAAGCTCTCATTCACAACTCAATTACAGAGAATTGCCAAAAGCCAAGTACAAACACCTTATGTTTCTGAGCCTTTCTTCGACTTCAAAAAAGCCAAGATGGATCTTATGTGCTTCGCTCGTTGCGGATCGTCAGCAAGCGTTTCGCTGTCCAAAAACCAACACAGTCGCGCCGAACTCCATTTTTCTTCATCCACTGTTTTTGAAACGAGCCGAGAACTCATGTTAATCTCGTCTTCGCATTTTGGGATTCCCTCGCAGAGGCGAAGTATAGAGAGTCAACTTCTGGCGGCCACAAGAAGTGACTTTATACCATGGCGGCCTCTACCGAGCACACGAATCATGCATTCGTCAACATTCGCTTTTGTTTCCTCTCCTCCTCCTATGCATACGTGTGATATGGCATCTGCATCCTGCCATCATGATAGTGAGGACAGCACGCTTCCGAGCGGTCCGACATACATCGGTGACTCTTCAACTTTTAGTAGTACGCGCGAAATCCAACGGAAGACGACATCGCAAAGCGTCATGGCCTTTTTGATTCCGTCAACCAGTGAAAAAGACTTGATAGGAATACATGGCTGGCGAGGAAGGAAAGCGGAGACAGAACTCTCCATGAAGCGGACCTGCATGTTGTTTTTGGAAAGAGGAGCGAACATGGCTCAAGTGGCTCGGAGCTTTGGAAATACAAAAGCTGTGCTGTGATGAAGGAAGAAGCAACTGCTGGTTACAGGAGACTTATATAGACATCCTCGGCCCGTGCGACCGGGTGCTAGTACAGTGCACATGTACCGCAGTCTTGTCAAATCCACCAGGGCAGGGTTGCATTGAACCGTATGAGAGAAATCAGGGCATATCCACCGCTGTACTGACCTTCGATACATCGCCCGATGGACTTTCTGGTTTTGTAGCAAGCTCTCCGCACGTCCAGAGCACATATCGCATGTCTTCTGGGCTTTTGGACTCATCGAACTTTTTTCGGGTGCTTTTCGAGGTTATGTAAGAGAGAGAGGGAAGGCGGCAGAAACATAAAAGGTTCGCTCTAGGCTTTTGGAAAGGCGGAGGGCAGAAGACATGGCGAAGGTCATGCCGTTTTTAGATGAAAGCTGAATCTGTAGGATGAGGGAGGAATAGGGTGACTCGCGCGGCTTTTATACGTAACCGAGCAAGGAGAGAAGTCATTTTATCGTACATGGTAGCGTTTTTAGTTGGCAACACATGCATCTGCTAAACGTGAGAGAAGCAGGCATCATACATCTGGCTGTGTGTTTTTCGTATCATGATTCACAAAACCAGTGCCAGGGGAAAGGAACGCATGGAAAAAGCGAGTGTAGTTTTCGGAAGATGTGCCCACGCCATGGGAAGGCGTTAGTGTGTTTTGATCAAGCGCAAGGAGTTGATCCGCAGACCCAAGGACGAACATGCAGCCTTTGAAGGTTGGCTTTCGCTTTCTGGAAGAAAGAAGACCATCAGCTCTGTCGGGAGCTTTTTTGGTAGCTCTTCGACTAGAGTAGAGTATAAGACACGGAGTATCACAAGCCTGGAAGATCTCTTTATACCTTGCACAATCCCACAAACTCCATGTCGTCATCGTAACAGAACTTTTGCGCAACATAGCGTGAAGGTATGTATGTTTTGAGAGGCAGAGACCGCCACATATCGTCTGATCAAGGGCTTTTTGGAAAGAAGAAAGAGCAGACAGCAGAGTCATAGATTCATTCTACTCATATTTTGGTTTTTGATATGAGGAAGTGTGGTGTAGGAGATCAGATCCCAGGAGAAAGAGAGAAGCTTTTATGCACTCCTCACTCTCAAACGAGCTGGACATAAGCGCGAAGGTGTTGTTCTTCGATATGTACCGTCGAATGCGGGTTTTTGGAGGAGCAGAGACCGCCACATCTTTGGGTATCCATGGAGGTTTTGGAAAGGCAGAGGGCAAAGTCATGTCCCAGTCGCGGGAAGTTTTAGGTTTCGGACACGCAAAGTGTGGTGTAGGATATCAAGTCTCAGGAAGAAGAAAGCAAATTTTATACGCTCCCAACCCTCGAACAATCATGATACCGCGATAGACAATTTTTGCGCAACATCGTTGCTACATATCGAGGGTTTTGAGAAGGACAGCCCGCCACATGTTACGGTATCGGCTGTTTTGAAAGAGAGAAGAAGCAGAGCACAAGACCATGCAATTTGGTTGACGCTGTTTTGGCTTTTGCAGATGCGGAATATGGTATGAGAAGTAAAGCTCTTAGCAATAAGAAAGACGCCTTTATACGTCAATACATGCGCCGCAACAACTCTCGTCTCGTCCATCGAGTCCTTCGGTCTTCATTTTGAGGCGGCCAACACAGGAGGAGAATCCATAGTATTGTGATTCGGTAGTTTTTGGAGAAGCAGATACAGTCATAAGCACTTCCAGGATTGGTTTTGATCTTTGAAAGTAGCAGTGGTTCTTTTCCATATATAGTAGACTTTCTATTTGCTTTTTTGATAGGTGGGAAGAGAAAGACCAGAGGCAGCTCCATCAAGGTGTGGACCCTAGGTTTTGGAGGAAAGAGAAACAGCCATGCAGCCCATGTCTGTTCTTTTTGATATCGAACAATGCCGGTGGAGCTATCTCATAGACAAGACCGCAGTCGTTTTCGAGTAGAAGAAGGCGAAGACCGGAGGAGATGCCATAGATCAACACCAGAGTAGTTTTGGAAGAAAGGACGCAGCCATAAAGGAGTGCCTCGACTCATTTGGATGTTTCGAAAGGAGCAGAGTTTTTCCCATGAAACTGTTTGATTTGGTTTTTGGTTGTGGTAGGTCGAACAGGAAAGAGCAGGAGAAAACTCCATCGTACGCATCCATTGCGATTTTGGAGGAAGGAAGCAGCCATAGAGCAAAATGGTTTCCTTTTTGATGTTTCGAAAGCAGCGGTGGACTCTGACATGTGCTTTTCTCGCAGCGCTTTTGTGGAAGTTGAGAAAGAGCCGGGAAAGAACTCCATCAATTGGATGGTATAGAGTTTTTGGAAAAGAAGAACACAGCCATGGCTGCGTGCTTCGCTTAGTTTGGTAAAGCACTGCGAGAGTGTGGGATAAAGAAGCAAGAGTTCTACCCGCACAAAAGACGTTTATATACCCCACCTCCATCCCATCTCCGCCCCTCATCCCCAATTCTTCCCATCGCTCACGTGCGACCCCCGATATGTGAACTGCCTCCAAGTGCGCGTGAAGAACATTCATGCGCGTGAAAAACATTCATGATTATACTAATCTTGGTATCTAATCTGATCTCCAAAGTCCTCATCTCCATCTCTTAATCTTCATCAAAAGGACCAGCCTATCTCTCGCCTGCTCAAAAACGATGCATGCGCGTACGCATGTCCTATATACCTCCAACCCACCCAAACTCTCCATGCCATTCGAAAAGACAAACGCCAAGAATGCAACGCCTCGTCTCCAAAAACGCTCCGAAAGGCAATCTATACACACACACCCACTCAAATCCGTCCCCCCTCAACGATCTCCCTCCCAATCAACTCCAATTCTCCACTCTCCGCCGTCCTCCTCCTCTCCAACACCCACCTGCCCTCCCCCGCCTCATCATGTTCCCGCACATAAGTCACGCTATCAGCCGCACTCCCCTTACGACTATGTCCTCTATTCCATCCACTCCCACCACCACCACCATTCGGCGTAATAGGACTAGAGTTACTAATAGGAC